ATATATTGTTAAAGATCCTCAAGTCCAAAATGACAAATGCCGATATGGATGCAAAGCCCAAGAAACCATCCAACATCTTACCGGTGGCTGCCAGGCATTTGTCGGTACTGATTATAAAGAACCTTCTTCCTTATTATCAATACGCCCCTGATAGAATTCTTGAAAATGACAACTACAAGCTATACTGGGACCGCACTGTGCTTACAGACCAACCAGTGCCCATAATAGACCGGATCTCATACTAGTTAATAAACTTACTAGACAAACAACACTTATTGATGTGGCGATACCCACCACTAATAATTTAGGTGTTAAATACAACGAAAAGATCGCCAAGTACAGAGATCTAGAAATACAAATCAGGAGATAATGGAGAATGGAAAGTACCCAGACACTACCTATTGTTCTATCTACTACTGGTGTTATTCCCAAAAACCTCCTAGCAAACATAAAACAGCTGGGTCTAAATGAACATCTTTATAGGGCCATGCAGAAAGCTGTACTCCTCGCGACGTCCAGATGTGTACGAAAATTTTTGGGAGATACTCCAACATACCAAGTCACCTAGGGCTCGATAACACGGAAAGAGTCCCAACAGAGCTCAATCCTTTTGATACCGTAGGTATCTGGGATGAGTGAATTTTCCCCTTAGAGGGAGTGTGAGCCGTATGGCTAAATCTGGATAATAATAATAATAATAATAATAATAATAATAATACTAGATTTTGTTTCGATCCAGAGGGTGGCTATACCGCTCTAAAGAGACCTAAAGAGGTCGAAATACGTATAAGCGGCTCGCCGCCGCTCTGTATTGAAACAAAAATCTAGTACCGTCGTTATATTTTATTTCTTTACCCCGTCTGGAGTACCAAAAATTGAATTCACTAAGAATTTTGACCATAATGAACGACATGTGGAATGCAATCTTAGATTCCCTTGCCGACTAATTTATCAAGCTGTTTGCTTTGCAAGTTTTAGGAAGCACAGTGGTAAAGATTTGAATTCGTTTTCGCCAGGTAGAAATAGTATGATTTCTCTTTTTGTTTAAAACAGAAGAAACTTTTGTTTAAAACGATTTATTATCACATAACTAATTTGTTCTATATCAAACACTGTGAAAGTCAGTGATGTCCAAGAACGGTCAACTAGAAGGATAGAATCTGTCCTATGCTCTAATGTAAGAAATGCGATGTGTTGACGGTGACGTAGGCGTGGGGACTCGTGGTTGACATTTTTTATTGTTTTCTATAGAATATTTGTGCTGCTGCTGATTTTTTTTATTGTACTAGAGATTTAACAGTCTTATCATCATCATCATCCAGCCTCAAGAGTCCACTGCTGAACACAGGCCTCTTCCTCGTGTTTCCAACCCCGTCTATCTTGCGCCGCTCTTATCCAGTTTTTATTGAGTCTTCTCAAATCGTCAGTCCATCTTGTAGGTGGTCAACCGACGCTTCTCTTGTCTTCCCTTGGCCTCCATTCCAATAACCTCTTTGTCCATCGCCCATCTGTCATTCTGGCTATGTGTCTCCATTTTAGTCTGGCTATCTTTTCGATGATGTCAGTCACTCCGGTTCTTCTCCTGATGTCTTCGTTGGTTATTCTGTCTCGCAGAGTTATTCCTAACATGGACCGCTCCATTCTTCTCTGCGTGACTCTCAGTTTGGTAGCTGCGGCTTTTGTTAAGGTAAGTGTTTCTGCTCCGTACGTCAAGACTGGGAGGACGCACTGATCAAATACCTTTCTCTTTAGGCATGTGGGCAGCTCACTTTTAAAAGTTTCTCAATTTTCCAAATGCTGCCCACCCAAGGCCAATTCTTCTCTTCAGTTCATTAGTCTGGTTATCCCTGCCAATCATAATTTCATGTCCCAGGTATTATAATACTATTTAATTATTGTTTGTTGTTTCTATATATTTCGATCTATTTGTCTAAAAATATGGGTGGTAATACATGTGCCATATATGGTTGTGACAATAATCTTAAGAGTGTAAAAACTAAGGGACATGTCTATTATTTTTCTCAGTTTTCTAAAAGGAAAGGATTTAGTGTCGAAAACTGTAGGAGCTGAGTGGGTTAATCGATGCAGAACAGCCAATAATTTGAATCCTGATTCTAGTAGAATATGCTCTGTTCATTTTACAAACAATGACTATGAAGGAGATCTTCAAAACTAATTGTTAGGTAAAATGCATTAAGCAATAAAATGTATATAATAATTTTTTAACCTAACTTATTGTAGGTTTACCTACTAGATGCTTTTTGAAGAAAACTGCAGTTCCAACACTTTATTTGTATAAAGATACCTTTGATACACCTTCTGTCTCTACTCGTGAAGGTAGATTGGATGTTAGAAACAAAAAGAAACTTGTAGCAGAAATTACAAAGGTTGATTCAAATATTTTGAATATTGCATCTAATCAACATACTATTACTGAATCTAAAAATATTTTTAATAAGCTGGTGACCATATAGATTCAATGTCAATTCAATTCAGAATATAACAAAGATAGTTCTTTCTCTTGGAGATGGATAGTGGAAAGGAACAGAATGGAGAGAGAGACAGGTGCGAATTTTGTTACAGTGAGAGAAATGATTGAGAGAATGATTGAAAATAAATTAGGTTGGATTAACATACACAGTTATATCCGTGCAGTGATCAAAAAAAAGGAAGAGGAAGAAAGACAGCTGGACCAACGGCAAAGGTAGAGTGAATGAATGCTGAAAGGTGAAGTGGGTCAGACTTTTGAGTTAGAATGCGTGAGTTGACTGTGGGGAAGGAGGAAATATCCTTCTGAGAATGATGCCGAACTAGGAGTGTGAATGTGTATGAATGGAGAATGAATGAATAAAGTAGTGCTTCGGAAGTGATGCCGGCCTTACAGCGGCCATTCCGCTCCGGATCGCTGGATGACAGAGGAGGGTCTGGTTTAGCAGGTAGGCGTTCGGCGTAGACTCGGCGACGAGAGGGCATTTTAAAGTACCATCGGAAACTATCGCCGGGAGTACGAAGAACGAATCCTGCACTAAGGTCAGTCAGGCGGCGTCCTAGACTGAGATGTCTTTTGAAGATTCCAGAAGATTCATTGATATTTATAATGTTTACATAAACGATCTTGTAAACATGAGCATACTATAATGCAAATTATCAAATAGAAACTGTAAGAAGCAAAACAAATTTTTTCGTGCAATTACTGGTTTAATTACTCACCTTAAAATGATTTGAAATTATAGTAAATTGATGATCGTTGTTTCACTACAAGTTTTACATTGAAATGTGACTAACGCTTACTGATAGAATTGTCAAATAAATTAATGCAGCGTCGTCTAGTAGGAAGGTGAGGCAACGCAATACCGTTCGCCAAATCGACATAAGTAGTTTCCTTTGTTGCTAAAGCAGAAAAGATTGCTATGATTCCAAATGGGATCATCTGGACTGTAAAGGGTTAATTATGTAACGTATACAATACGCATGCGAACAATAAATGTCGAATTAATAAATTAAATACACTAAATGAAGCTTCTAATAATCATTTTTATTTACATTAGCACCTAACATTAGAAATAACAAAAAGGTTAAACATCTTCGTCAACAAAAACAGAAACCTTCTGAGAAGAAACACAAAAAAAGTTTCAATAATAATAAATTTTGTAAGAGGTACGAATGTATTAACTTTAATGATCTAAAAGACTTCGCAAAAATAATACACAGTTGGAAGTCGAAGAAGTGTACATGTTACTTAACATGGTATTAAATGGAGATGAGATCAAAGTTTAAACCGACAACAGCGCTTTCTCTAGCTAAAGACCCATTATCCTTCAGCCAGGTCTTCAGTATTGTGATTAGACATTCAAGATGTTTTAAAAACAACATTTCATACTGTTCAAGTATGAATCAAACATTGTAACTTTTGTAAGTGTAGCTGTCGGACTATAGTTTGTACTGGAGATACAAATTGAATATTTTTGCAGTATTACAAGAGTTATATGTGGTATGTGCATGTCTTAGACTTCCAACCCTGTATACAAGTGACGAGAAATTATAATTTTTGTGCGATTGCAAAATGGAAATGTTTTTAGGTTATGATACCTGTCAGTTACACACATTACTATGTAAACATTTCCTAAAATGCGGGACGTTAATGGTTTACAAGTTTTCCACAAACAATTCGATCACTTGTTGGGTAATCTTGATGGTAGAAGTAGATATAATGTTCTTCGTCCCTTTGGTAACTGACAAGCATCCGTCTCGATGAAATAAAACTTTATTCAAAACAGGTACACATATTTTTACTTCTACAAAGAATTTTTAACGAACACAACTTATCAACTAAAACCTACAACTGAATATATTAACCATATGTACGATTAAAATAAAAATATACATTATAATACAGTTAATATTATCACAAATTTCTTTTAAATGTTTCATGAGCCACTAGTCTAGCTGGCAGCTACAAAAGTGTATGTAAAATATAGCGAGAAACTTGTAGCAACGAAAAATCCTAACAAGATTTACTAAAAAAGCTTATTTTTTCATTAAATTTGAACCGTATATATTTTTGGCTAGATTTATCATGGAAGGATATATGGTCCGGGAAATATACAGGGTAAACTGGTATTGACGAAGCCTACTAGCAAGGAAAATAACAAAAATAGAAATTGCTTTGACAGGACTAAGAAAACTGTTAGTAGCTATAAATAGTAATAAATGAAAATAAGCTAGAAAAATAAAGAGTGTTAATATTTGCAAAATATATTTTCCTCACGATCTGTTTGACCTTTTCTAGCGGCAGATTTCTGTATTTCTCTTAGGTGAGGATAATTGTTTTTGGAAATAATGGCTTATTAATTCCAAGCCTATATGGCGCCTCGAGCGACTACCAACACAAATGACAAGACTTTTTTTCATACAAAAATCGTTGAGTTTTAGTCTCGAAATGTAATAATGGATGACATATCTATCCACTGCTTCTTAAAGTTATCGCTTTCTTTTGCATCAGCCGTATTATTCAGATTTTACCTTTGACGACTGTTTACAAGCCTTACAAGAATGTTTCAGAGATTTTGGGAGAGAAACGAATTTTTGGGCGTAGTTTTAAGACCCAACATAAAAGTTGGCAAATAAAGCGTTGGAATTAACCCGAGAAGGCAGTATGTATGTAGACGAATAAGATCCAATTTTTGCTTAAAAGTTCTTGTTCTATTAGCTAGAACCGGAATTTATTGACAAAGGTGATATTTAAGAGAAGAAAAAAATAAAACAACTAATTTCTTTGAGCTTGTGCACCTTTGTCATTCTTTCGTCTATACATTATTACTCATTTGATTTTACTTTGCTTCAGGCGCTAGCAATATAATTAAAAATTGACGATTCTATACTTTTCATGATTAAAAAATATCAATAGATGACTGGTTTATTCATATGATGCAAATATCTATGAATATGTACTTCCCCGATGTATATTTGAAGCTCGGGAACAGCTTTAAACGATTTTATGGGAATCATATCACAAGCGTATAAAACTAAAAACTTTTTCGATACATACATTAACGCTCCTAATTTCAGTTAGCAATATGTGGTGAAGTAACACACGGAGAGGATTTTACACGAATTTTCCAGCGTCAAAGACCAGATCTATTATATATACACCACTATAAACATCTTCCGCAACATACAGTGAAGGTAATTAACAATGCACTGTATGACAAGATTAATTCGGACGTATGGATTAGTGTCATACATCACAACGAATCAAATGAAGCAGAAAAACCAACTATGTTGGCAAAAATGAAGATTTGTTAGAAACCAACCAAGTCTGGAAACAAAAACGTAGAAATAGATCCGTATGTTCCTATTTTACTGTCTAATATCACCAAAAATACCTAAAACAGGGGCTACAAGATAAAGAGCTTTTAAAGAATATTCAGAAAGAGCATTAAAAATTTTTAAAACATGCGCCATCTACTTTGCATAATTCTTCGAAACTAAAGTAGAATAAAGTATTTCAATATATACTTAAAAACTGGTAAAACACTGGTAAATATATTTTTATAGTAGTCATTACTCAGTACGTCTTGTACTGTTCCTACTAAACGTTTTGTCTAATTTTTATATTTCCCGATATACTATTCTATATTATAAACTTGGCAACAATATCATGTATATAGAATACCAAAATCTACGAAATAAAACAAATGAACTATAATTTTACATAACTTTTTCATGGCCTTTCTGCTATATATGTGTTCAAAACACTTCAAATTTATAGAGTGGCTTGTACTTGTTGCGCATCTTCGGCAGTTGGATTGACATTGGCGCTGATTGTTGTCACGTGGCTTCCAATACTAAGCGCAGCTACTTTGGCACGCTGATAAGCGCTTAGAGTATTTTGGCCCAAAAACCTGCAATAACACATATTATACACTCCAAATATTTTAAAAGAACTTTTGATTTGATAAAACAAGTCCAAGTTTTCCTTCGCCTCGTTATTTAAAACATACATAACAGACACGCGTAAGTTTAGAAAACATTTAATCTTACTTGATACAGACGTAGATTATCAATAGTGCCAGGCTGGCGCTGACCATTCTGATGTACGGATTTGCATACAACTGAATCGAGATCCAAGCTCCGGCGACGGCAAGACACATGCACGTTACAATGCAGGCTGTACTTCCCCAGTGTTGTGCAGTAAAACCTTTGTCCCATTTCACTTCGCTGCTCTTACAAATGTCGTATTCGTAATTGCAGACTTTGCATTTTAAAGGTTCGTTACTGGAGGAAGAGCTTTCCATTAACCATCTGAAAAAGAAACTCATTTTGTCTAGTTTGTTTTGTCTATGATAGTTTACCACAATTTGGCAAAAAAATAATAATACAATTTCTGTAACTGAAAAAAGTGAAGAAAAGATAATTTTTTTTTTTTGGAAAATTATTACATGAGGGCACTTCTTTTTTAAAACCCTTCCTTAATTTTATATTTCAGATTTGGACGAACAATTTTTGGCACCATCTTAAAATAGAGGAATAATGAAAAAAAAAGAAAAGAAAAATTATGTAATTTTCAAAAGTTGTATAATATAAAAAAAGTTTTATATCCATATATAATAGATAATGTAGCAAATTAAAACAAACAATTTTACAAAAATTTTACTCATAGGCGCAAAATAAATCATCAAATTTTTAATGGTTGCAATAAACAATCAAAACAATATATATGTTCAGGTAAAACTAGGTATGGCTTACCGGTAACTGAAGTCGATTACTATGCTTTAAACTATTTTACGAAACAACGAACGAAACGAATTTAATATATGTGCGTTGGTTTAATGTAGGGTTGCGTCTGTCCCTCTTATCGATGATCACGCTCTTGTAGTTCGCGAGATGCATTCCCCGAGCGGTACTATAGGGATCGGGATAAAGGGAGGACAAATGTATCGATTAATTTACACAACCCTATTTGAATTTAAAAGTCTCTCCCCTTAAAGACCATAAGGTCTTTAAAAACAAAACTAATTCTAAATGCCATCATTACTTAAACAACAACAAATGATAATTAATACAAACAATTCCTATATAAATCTTAAACAAATATTTAAAGCTTAAACTAAAATGAAAAATTAAAATTAAAATGGTGGTTTCGTCGCAGTTGTATTGATAAAAGCCGAACAAAACAAAATAATTCTAAAGTAAAAATGTTGGCCATCTAAAGCCCTTTTGCCGTAACATACAAATAGACACAGTTATCGAAAACGGTCCACCATAACCTAACTCACAAATCGAAAAAGGTTTAATGGTACCGAGACGAAATTTAGGCAAATTACTCATAGGGGGTTTTAAGGTTTTGGGAGATTGTTTCCAGCATCTAATATGTTTGTACAATATTAACAGCTTTTTTAGAAGACAGTATCCAATACCTTTGACTAACCAAAAACTGAGTACTCCTTAAATCCAGCATGTAAATACTTCTCATGATAATGACGAACTAGAAGATTACATAGTAAGGCGAGATTTTTTGGTAATAAAAACGGGTGTTTTGTTATGACGGTTTTTGTATACGATAACGAAGACTGAGATAGGTAACCACCTACTCTTAGACACTGAGTGAGTTTTTCTCCTGGTTTTTCCCTCATAATTTACTATGGAATCATTAACAGGAGAATTTATACTGCCATCGTGGCATGTGTTAATTTTTTGCAAGCTATGATTTTTTCTGACGGATAGCCTCAAGTTAAAGTTGATTTCATGTAATCGAATGAACTAATCTTACAAGTAAAGTCGTCCCAGGAACGCAACTCAACAATATTGGCAATATCATTTTAAAGTCGTCTACTTTAAAATGTATAATGTATGTATGAATTGTTAATATATATATATATAATAATATATATATATATATAATATATATATAATATAAGTCAGATAATTAGAAGAATTTTTCACCAAGTAACAAAAAAACTTTGTTTTTGTTTAATTAAAAAAAAATTGTGTTTAATTTACTAATGTTTGTCTTTTGAGAACGATTTTCAAAGTCTAAATTGAAATGTCAATAAACTTACTTAAAAGTTTACTCATTTTAAAAATTAGTTTATATAAATGTAATGTCGGATTTTTACAATTATCAGTTCCACAATAATTGTATTAAAGTGTGACAAAAAAAATAGTTATTGGTAAAACATTTTAAGTCGAACTTTCATATTTATACTTTGGATGAGATTTCTAAATCAGCACATATATATATATATATATATATATTATATAATATAATATATATATATATATATATATGTATATATATTTATATATAATATATATATATATAATATATATTATATATATAATATATATATATATGAGCAGCATAATTGATTCAGAGTCTATGTATATTTAGAGATATGCTAAATGTATTTCGACATGAAATAATGCTCTTACCTTCGAAGACATTCGTGATGAACACTCGACACGTCGCCAGTACAGTCGCACGGTTGTATCAGAGGTTCGGTTTTATCGGCGTCGTAGCATATCCAACACTCTCGTCTATCCAGAAAAGCTTCGTCGTCGGTGTCAGTCTTAACATTTTGATCGGTAACGTTTTCGTTCCTCGATTGGTCTATTTTGGCTAAAAGTTTTCTCGGATTCAGTATCCATAGCTCGGAGGGTTGCATGCAGTTCCACAATACCGCTGGAAACCATACGGCAACGCCTATTTCTACCACTCTAAAGATTATGTTGTGCAGGTTCCTGGAGTTTATTGGCACCTGTAATGGAATTATTTATTTTTTTAACCACAAGATTGCACGCCATAGTACTATCGAGTAGTAACACCCGAGAAAGTACTATTATAGTCGATTTGGAAATGCATCTTAGAACATTTTTGTTGCATAATTTCACTGAATATTGCTTTTTTATAGCTATTAGCACATCTAACAATTCAGTACATTGTGTTTAAAGGTCTTAACAGAAAAAAAGTGTAAATTTCAAACTGAAATAATTGACCACGAGAAACTATATAATGTCGACTTAAAATTTAATCTTTTGGTGTGTTAAAAACTTTTCCCCAAAAAAAAGACCCATTCTTAGAGAAATTGCTGTTCCAAAAATATTTCAAGCACGTTCCAAGTTATATTCAAAATTACTTTGACAAAGCAAGAATATTGTACTAAAAGGAACAGTCCACGAAAAGAAGAGAAATAATATGCAGCAACAACAATAAGATGAATGGTTTCAAAGTGGTGTGATCGTGGCTTTTTGTAGTTTCAGTGAAAATTTTAAGTGTAATATAAGTTCTTATATTGTGAAATGGAAGTGGGATCAAGAAAAAATCACATTTATTTTATCTGGTGAAATTTGAGTGTGATGCGCCAGAAATCAACTGTGAGTACAATTAAAATTAAAGAAAACAATGGAAATTTGAGTACTTATTAAACCATAGATAGGTTAGATCATTAATAAAGGAAAATGAATAGAAGGCAAAGGAACAGGAAGAGCAATAGATACAGTATGAAGAAACGAAACGCAAGAGAAGAGACTAGAATGAATATTTTAGAAGAAGTAAAAATGACAAAGCGTACACCTTCTAAAAGGAGAGAAAGGAGGAAAGAGAAAAAGAAGAAAAAAAATCAAGAAATGATGAATGAAATAATAAAAATAGGAAAGAGCACACTGTTCAAGAGTGGAGGAACCAAGAGATATTTTGGAGTGGGATTCATGGTGTCGGAGAAAGTAAAACAAAGCAGTTGTAAATTTTCAACCAATATCAGACAGAATATGTTACAGCTAGAGTGGGAATCAAAGGGTATTAGCATCGATGGAAAGATATTCAATCATCTCAGATATGCCGATGATATTGTTCTCATAACAGACAACTTAAAAGAAAGCCACAGTTATGCTACAACAACTACAGCAAGTAACCCAGAAAGTCGGTTTAAAAATAAACTATGGAAAAAAACAAAAATGATGACCAATCTCGTCCCCAATGAGCTAATAGAAATCGAAAAGTCGCCCATAAGAACTTGTGGAAAAATATGTGTATTTGGGTCACGAAATAAGGTTAAAGGCGATATAACCAAACATGCGAGCTACTCAGAAGAATAAGTCTGGGTTGGGCTGTATTCGGAAAAATGAGAGACGTATTTAAAACAAATATACCGATCCATTTAAAAAGAAAAGCTTTTAACCAGTGCGTTCTACCAGTCCTCACATACGGAGCAGAAACTTTAACTCTCACAAAAACATCAGCCGAAAAATTGAGGACACAACGAAAGATGGAGAGATCAATGCTTGGAATAAGCTTAAGAAATAGAATAAGAAACGAGGAAGTTCGTATAACGAACCGGAGTGTTACAAACATATTACAAGGCAAAAATGGAGATGGGCAGGACATGTTGCAAGAATAAAAGACGACAGTTGGACAAAAAAATTGCTTGAGTGGAGACCACGGACTAACAAGCGAAACCGAGGAAGACCCCCAACGCGATGGACCGACGACCTCAAAAGAATCGTGACCAATTGGATAGCAGAGGCGCAGAACAGAAGCAGATGGAAAAGTCTAGAGGAGGCCTATGTTCAACAATGGACAACTCAGGGCTGATTGATGATGATGATGATAGGAAGATAAGTATCACTAATATACATGCGCCCACTGAAGATAAAGACTTAAAAAACCAAAACAGAGTTCTGCGAATAAAGATAATCATTGGTGACATGAATGCGAAAGTCGGAAAAGAGGAAATATATAGAAGAATAACAGGGAGACGAAGTTTACATAAGGAATCAAATGAAAACGGGAAAAAGTTAATAAAATTTGTTACAGAGAACAAAATGAAGATAGCTAGCACAAGGTTTGATCACAAAGACATTCAAAGGTAACATGGATTTTTCCTGGTGAAAAAATAAAAAATCAGATAGATCAATGTCCCAATTGAAAGCAAACATTGACAAGGCAATAATCGATTGCAGGAGTTACAGATGGGCAGATACCAATAGTGACCATACACTAATAATAGCAAAACTAAAACAAGAACTACCAATAAGACCAAAACCTGTTAGAGATAGATTAAATTACCAATTAGAGCGCCTCCAAGATAAGCAGGTTGTAAACAGACTAGAGGAAGAAATAAATAAAACAACTTGAGAATACAGTCAAACAGGATATAGATGAAGAATGGCAGACCATACAGACAGCCATGTCGGACGCAGCGGAAAAGTGTATAATGAAGAAAGCATATAAAAAGATGACAAGACTGGTTTGATGAAGAACGTAGGAATGTTTTGGCAAGAAGAAACAGGGCAAAACTACAAAGAGATAAAGAAAATATCCAAAATGCGATCGAAACTATGTGGCAAGAAGAAGGAAACTGAAAATAATTTGCAGAAAAAAGAAAAGAGAACAGCTAGAAAAGCAATTGAAAAAACATAGAGAGAAGCCAACATAAACAAAGAGGTAAATAATTTCTACCAAAAAGTTAAGAAACTCCAGAGAAACTACAAAGAATAATCCAAAGTATTGCTGAAATCAAAGACGGCTTAGATCTAGGTGAAACAACAGAAAAATTAAACAGACGGGCGGAATATTTCGAAGATCTAATAAATACAGACCAAAAAAGAGAAACATGAGAGAATTGGCAAGAAGATGAAGAAGGACGTGCGAGAAACCAACTCTGAATGAAGTCAAAGAAATAATAATGATATAAAAAATAACAAAAGTGCAGGAGAAAGTGGTTATCCCAGCTGAGATTTTAAGGAAGGTGACGAAAGATTAAAGGAAAGGATATTTCACTTGACACTAATAATTTGGCAAAAGGAAGAAATGCTGAAACAATGGAATATTGCTCTTATTTGTCCTATCTATAAAAAAGGAGCCGCTATTTCTTCCCGCTATAGGATAACTATAGGACTTTTCATCACAAATTAAGCCATTTTTTCGTACTGTATGTTGTTGTAAACAAATATGTTAGGTTAGGTTAGTAATATAAATAACAAAAAAGAACTTGTGAACACAGAATTAAGATAAAAAAATATACTAAAGAAAGTATAGTTTAATTAAAGAAAATAAGAAAATAAAGAGTAAATAACGCCTAATCTCTCAATTGTTGATCAAAACAGTACGAAAAACATGGCGGCTACGCATGCGCTCATCACATGATATTATAGCCATAAATAGGCCATCTATTTGAGAGGGCGACAGAGTTGCCACATCTAATGCAACGAATTGATGATAATGACAAAGGTGCCTCCAAGAAGACTCAAAACTGTTTACTATTCCAAAAGCAGTCAACAAAATGGGGGAGGGGACAAACCAAAGATGACAGCAGCATAAAACAAGGACTGCTAAAACGAAAACCACAAACAGAAAACCCATACACAGAAGAAGCAACGATAAATAATAAGATGACAGCGAGAAATGGAGCGACAACATCACTCACCGCTATAGATTTGGAGTTACTGTATCAAAGAAATGGAAAGATTCTGTTTTTAACTTCACTCGCTTCGACCGCGTAATGTTAAAAAAAGTATCTCCGCCCCATAAGCAAGACAAAATTTATATCCTAAGCAAGGCAACATTTCTATCGTTCAATGACAATGTAGGGCAAGGTAAAGTTGGAAGGAAACTGTAACATTGGAACTCCCGGAATTTCCGAAGTGAACATCGAAAAGTCAAAATAAACTTATTTTAAATTAAAATTGTGGCGTACTCCCAGTAAAAATAATAAATTGTATTAAGATGTAATAAAAAAATGGTTTCACAACCGCACCTGAGTGTAATCTAAAATTAAAAAAACTTATTTTCTTGAATTTGATAGGAAAACTTCAAAGTTTCTTTATACAAAAAAATATAAATATATCTATAAAACAAAGTCTAACAGATCTCACCTAAATTCCACAAGCCGGTACGGTACAGAAAACGTCTGATAAAAGAATCTCACAAGTGTCGAGAATTAGATAATCGTACCTCTTAAAAAGATGATTGAATTAATGCAATTCAATTGGGTTAAAATTACCTGACAAATTGCTAAATTTAAATAAACATCTTTAAAAAACCTTTATTTTTTACAATTATTAAGAAATGAAATTATTATAAAAGATTAAATTAATTATTGTATTCAAGTTAAATTAACTACATTTAAAAATAATTACACGTTTTATCATAATACTTATATTATCATGAAAATATGGTCGAATATGTTGCAAAATGATCAAAAATGAAGTTATTCAGGGTGCAAGAGATACCAAAACAAGGTGTTTACAATAGGAGCTAGCTGTAAGCTTTACATTTTAAAATCAGTTACACATATACAGGGTCTTGCATATCACTGTCCATAAAAGACGTTTTATATGCCAAAATTTAACATGAAAATTGTAACAGCCATAACATACAGGGTGAGTCATGAGGAACTTTACATACTTCTACCATATGTAGAGTCCCTCAGGGAGCATATCATGTGGCCACTAAAAAAATGTCAACTCCTCTTCTTTATTAATTAACAGGGTATTTGTGTAATTGACCATTTATTTCATTTTACTGTAGTGTTTATACGGCTCATTTGTTTTTTTAAATTTTTGCATGATACAGTACACTACTATCAAGCATTCGACTGGTATTAGCTAAACTAAAAAATTCCAGGACTGGCTTAGGAAAAATTAATTTAGGGATTCGTATTAAATATTACACCCTGTATATATTTTTTTTAAATGCAATAAGTGATTTTCAAACTACATAAATAGCCAATGAAAACGACATATGCGACAATGTTGTCGC